AATTTAATTCCAGATTTATTACAGAGCTGCTTTTTATTCATCAAGGTCATATCATGATGGCTTCACAAGCTTGGATAAACCAGGTGTTAAGCAGACACATCTCTGAGGAACCTAAGGATGTTCTCATTTGCAGTTCTCAGCATATCTTATTATTTATTGCCAAGGAAATGACTGATTAACTTTGTCATCTTTGCTCCATGTTTTTTTTTCCTCTGGCTAAAGCAGCCTGCCCTCCTCTGCGATGCCTGATCAGACCTATTTAGGATGACGTCTTTGATCACAGACATGGGGGAGTCTGAGATCTTAAGCTTTGATGAAACATTGTTCCACTATAATTTCATGGAAGGGAAACAGAGTCCAAAATGATAATTGACAGTCAACAAGACAACCAAACTTATTAAGATTTTAACTATTTTTTGACAGCATAATTTTTCAGTGCCAGAATCTGTCTAGTTTAGGTTTTATTTTAATATACAAGCAATACATAGAACACTCCTATTTCAATCATTTGCTTACTAGCTAATTTGCCCTGAAGAAGAAAGTCTAGCAGATCAAAAGATGAATTTATAGTTTAAAATATTTTCCTTATATTCTTCCATTGCTATGGTCTGCAAAATTCCTGGTAATCAATTAAATTTGCACTTGAATGAGATTTTAGTATTAGAAAATACTGAAATAGTACATTGAGTACATATGAAATTAGAACATTAAACACCAGGAAAAAAATTACATGCCTCTAGGTTTTTATTAATCACATTCCAACACCAGAGGCTGAAAGTATATCAAATCACACCAAATCTTTTGCACATGACAACCTCATAAATTATTCAATTCATTAGTATTACTAAGAAGCATGAAAAACTCCATCAGTGCTAAGGATGTTTTCCAACTGAAAAAGGTCAACCAAAAGTTTTAATAATGAAATGGAAGAGAACACTTTTCAAAGTGAATATGAAATAATTCTCCTTTATGTCTCTTTGAAAATATATCCAATTCTGATTATTTGTTCATTTAAAAGAAAGTATTGCTAATGTATTTGTTTTGTGGCTCCAAATAAATTACCTAAAAATAATGTCAGGAAATTTAAATTGCAGCTGTTTCTGCCCAGCACACGAAAGTTAATTTAATCTAAAATGTCTGAATTGAAGGAAAACTCTAGTGATTCAAAACATATTTATTAAAACATTAGCTCTGCAAATTCAGTTTCACTTCTATTATATTAATATAGGGTCACATTCTTGAAACATAGTGTACTACATGAACAGAGAGACATGACCAGTGATCAATCTCAGGGACTGCTCTGATGGCCATGTAAATATTCCCTGTTGAAATAATTTTAGGTTATTCTTTCAGCTTGTACAACTTGGTTAACATTCTAAAAACTTAGATCACTGATTCAAATACTTGTAGCCATACTTAACATTCCAGTCATAAAATATTCTTTTGTTCCTAAAATAATTTTGTTGCCACAATGTAGATGAACAGAAAAATCAAAACAAAACTGACTATAGATTACAGCAGTTTCTCTGTGCATTTAATGTTAACTTTCAAGACAGAATTTGAAATACTGCAATTATTTAATACAGAAGAAGAAATAATTGAATTTCAACTTGTTCTAGAAGCTCTCTCAAAATTTGTAGGTTTGTATTATATTTATACCCTTCATCTATGTCTACACAAACCAAAACATTAAATCATTTGGATGTTAGTCTACACACTGCCAGACTTTCAGGTACTTAAAACACATTTAAATGTTTAATGGCAGGCAGAGTGGCCAGATGATGGTCTGAGTTTTGTTAGCTTTTATGAATGTTCTGGGAAAATGTGAATACAAAAGCTTTCTCTAAAATATACAAAATATGTTTTCAATTAAGTCTTTCAACATCTATTTTCATTGAATGAAGTGCTTTGTAATAATTACTGACATTTACTTCCTATTTCTTCTGAAGAAATACTTTATACATAGGTTAGAAGGCACAAAAGTGTTTGGGAGAAGACACAGGACTATGTTCCTGGCCATCTGTAATTCCTCTTTCTACTTCTAGGTACAGATCACTCCAGGGAGAACTTTTCACTCACCTCTTCACATCCTCCATACTTCACCTTACTCTCTACCCTCTACCCACTTCCTGAAGTCCTCTGATGTGAAGTTGAAGAGGAGTGTTCTAGAACTGTTTCTGGAAGTAGAATTGAGTTCTTTTTTGTCTTGTACTATCCATCCTAGGGGCTTCCCAGGTGGCTCAGCGGTGAAAGAGTCTGCCTGCAATGCAGGAAATGCAGGAACCATGGGTTCAGTCCCTGGGTAGGGAAGATCCCACGAGTTCAATGCCTGGAGAAACCCATGCACAGAGAACCTGGTGCGCTACAGTTCACGGGGTCACAAAGAGTTGGACACGACTGGAGTGACTGACCCCAGTGTAGCACACTCCACCTTAACTCCAGGAATGACCACAAAGTAAACCTGGCGGGTGCGATGTAGAGGTCCCAAACGCTTTACGGCATGCATGTGGTCTGTGTTCTAATATGCATAAACATACCCTACTTCCCTTTCATCAAAGAATCCAACTCAGGAGGGACGACAGGTTCTGAATACTGCCAATGATCTACTATTCAAAATTCATAAACAACTGTGTTATGCTGTGCTAAGTCGCTTCAGTCACGTCTGACTCTCTGCGACCCTATGGACTGTAGCTCACCAGGCTCCTCTGTCCATGGGATTCTCCAGGCAAGAACACTGGAGTAGGTTGCCAGGCCCTCCTCCAGGAGATTTCCTGTCCCAGGGATCGAACCTGCGTCTCTTTATGTCTCCTACACTGGCCAGGTTCTTTACAACTAGCACCACCTGGGAAGCCCTCATAAATCACTATATATTTTAAGACACATTTATACTACACAGATGTTTATTATCACCTATTTCTTTCATTTATTTAAAAATCTGAATTTTATATTTTAGTTTAGATACATTAATAATGGTTACTATATTACTAAAATACATGACAGTCAATCTTAAAAAGATGTTAATAAAAAAATAAGTTTGTTTCTGATAAGGTTTGACACTGGTTTAGCAAAAGAGACATTTTACAAATTGAATATACACAATAAGGCATCCATTTTTATAGAGAAGCAAAAGAAATATTTTTCTAACACCCTTTCTACAAGCAACCTGTAAAATGACAAATGTGGTATAATGTGAATCCTATACAAATGTGGTATTGGCAACTCAGTGTCACTAATAATATCACGCCAGGCCAACCTCTATTACAAATTGTTTTTAGATGCTTCTAATTTCAAATGAGATGAATTCAACATGAATTGATGAAAATGCCTAAATGGATGTATATAAAATGGAAGTTTTAAAAATTTTAAGTTCATATTATAAAGCATGCCACTTTAAGTAGATATTTTTAAGAATTTCTTTTGTAGGACATAAAGGTAACAACTCATTTTAAATTGGTGCTAAATCCTTAGGTATCAGAATCCTTAGGTGATTTTTTTTTTAGAAGGGAATGGCTACCCACTCCAGTATTCTTGCCTGGAGAATTCCATTGACAGAGGAGCCTGGAATCCTCACATATTTATTTTTGTTGTGATCCTCGGTAAATTATATCAATTCACAGACTATTTATACAATAAATTTTCAAAGCTGTGTACATTTTCTTTCTATTAAGTTTACATATTTTCTCTATTTAATCTATCAGAACATGAATGGCATCCTCTGCTACATATTATTATGGTAAATTTTAAAACACATGGCTCACTATCATGTGTTGGTGTTGTTTTGTCACTAAGTAATGTTCAACTCTTTTGTGACCCCACAGACTGTAGCCCACCAGGCTTCTCTGGCCATGGGATTTTCCAGGCAAGAATATTGGAGTGAGTTACCATTTCCCACTCCAGGGGATCTTCCTGAATCAGGGAAAGAATCCTCGTCTTTACCACTGAGCCACCTGGGAAGCCCCATGGCTCACTTATTACTCTCAAATAAAACAAAAAACAAAAAACAAAAAAACAAAAATCAAGTGACTGTGAGAATAAAAGTAGTTAATAACAAAAATATATGGACAGTATTCAATTATGGTATTTTCTGAGGGCATGTTTATAAAATTTGTGATATGATCAGTCAAACTTAAATTTCTTAGACTATTTAAAATTAGGTGCACAGACAGAATAGCCCTATGTACACTTTTTGGTGGACAGAAATCTAAAGTAGCAGCATTTTGATTAAATTACAAAAAAAATTTTGATATTTACTATCTATTGCACATTTTATAGAGGACAATTTAGGGTGCAATTCTACTGTGGTGTGATAGCTCATGCTATGTTTAATATAGGATGTTTAAATATTGCAAACTTTATTTGCAATTAGAGGATTGTGAACTTACACAGGCATACAGAGGCATGATTTATTAGACTGAAAATGATAGAATAGAATAGGGTTAAAATAGAGAATGCCATGTAGTAAGATTATTAACAAGATATTTATTTCAGTTAAATACTCAAGTATGTGCAGGTATATGTGTATATAAATAACAGCACACATGTTTGTATATATATTTCATGTATACTCATACAGTGTACATATGTACACATACCCATACAAATTATACACAAAAATATATAAATTTGAATACACAGTTACAATAGTAAATTTTTTTAAGTGAAAAAATCTGAAAGACCAAAGTTTGAAACATGCTGAAAAGGAAAATGACTTTACTCTTGTTTTAGGCTGTGTGAGAAGGATGGTGGGTAATAACCAATTATGTAAAGTCTTCTAATCTATTACAAAGAAGCTGAAGAGTCTAACATACATCAAGTGGGCGAAATACTGTATTAATTAAGTGTAACCTAAATGATGCTGCACGATAAAGTAGACTAAAGTAGAACATTTTTGACTTATGACATGGAGAACCTGAAAAGGTACTGAAAGAAAAAGAACTGTCAACCACAGAGAGTCACCTCACACGGAGGAGCATTCCTGCATAAGAGGCACTGGAACTCACCGTACTCGATTGCAGCTTTGAGCAACGCTTCAGCGTGAGTGGAGCCAAATGCATTACGGACAAACCGTCTCCTTCGACGAAGATCATCTTCCCAATAATCCAAACGCCAGAAATCATGCAATTGGCTAAGAATGGAACATGAAAAACAAGAATGATTATTAATAATGATGTATAACTGGAAATACACTTTTTCAAGTTATATGAATTAACAGACTGTTTATACAATGAAATTTAAAAGCTTTGCAGACTTTCTTTTTATTAGGATTAAATATTATCTGGAGACCTAGGTTCAATCCCTGGGATGGGAAGATTCCCTGGAGAAGCAAAAGGTTATTCACTCCAGTATTCTGGCCTGGAGAGTTCCATGGACTGTATAGTCCATGGGGCTGCAAGGAGTTGACATGACTGAGCGACTTTCACACATTGAACCCATCAAGAACGTGAATGGCATTATATATTACATATTATGGTAAATTTAATTCTTAATAATGAATACAACTAAATCTTTATTTCTCTAGTCTTATTGGAAAAATAAGGTAACTTTTGAGATATTTCTGTTTTACAACTGCATTTGTATACTTGTTTCCTCTGCAAATGGACAAACTTAAAATAGTAACATTCTCATATTTTAGGCATTATAACATTCAGGTCTGCTTTCCTTACAATGTTCCTTCTTCTACTAAAAATATTAATCACTGGGAGTTTAGAATAAATGCAGCATCAAATTACAAGTATTAATGGCACAGTTTGCATTCTTTTACACTGTTTTTAACAAGGCTTGTAAATCACAGGATTGACCTCACTACAAATAGTTTGCAATTTAATGACCATGGTTTCTTAGTAACTGAATTAAGAACTATGAAATATTGCCCACTTGGATTTGGTGGAACAATGATTAAAATAATGTGCTGAAATATTCATTGAAATAATTCCCTACTGCCCACAGCAACCTGAGAAAAGTGCAATTTTATCCATTATTAATAATACTGAATTAGAGCTGCAAAAAATTCCAGTATGTGGTAATTGTCTTGGTAAATTATTATTCTAATGCTCACAGAGTCGTTGGATGATTTTATAGCTTTCAGCTAATATAAACCATCAACAATCTTGGCCATCATTGGGTAACACTGTCTAAACTATGTTACACTTTAAACCAATATTAAAAATCTACGTGATATTAGAGAAAACAACTGAAATATATTTGTTGTATATTGATGGAACAAGTTACGACATCACTTTTAAGTTCAATTTAGTTTTGTAAACATCAGTGATAAATGCTGCTGTTTGAAAAGTCTGTTTCTCTCTGTATAGTACTTGGAGACATATACTCAAAAGATAATATCAACATTCTGACTTTCCTGAGCATCACCATTCATAAAAACATATAAAATGCTTTCACAGAAGGTTCAATTTCAGTTTTTTTTTAATATTTTATTATAGTAGAACACTGTGCTTGATTAAGGCAGAAACTATACAATTTGCTCATGATTATCTCTCTAGCACAATGTCTGGCACATACTATGTTTTTAATAAGCATTCAATGAATTAATTTAAAACAATTTTTGTTACTTTGAAAATCTGCAGAAAATTATAGTCATTGAGAACAAAAATTTTACATTTTATGGCTATTTAATTTTTTCTATAACTTAATTGTAAAAGAACATATCAATATAAGGGATATATAAAAACATTAAAATTATAATCATTTTAGGTATATTTTAATATACTTGTTTTTCTAAACATATAATTTGTTTTTCTGTCAAAATAATGATTACCTGTTGATTAATTATTACAAATAGTGTACCTCTGTCATTAATTTAAAACAGGATAATTTCTATCCCTACAAATGCAAATTAATTCTAATAGTTTGAGGAAGACCACTTGCTATAATGATTTTCCTTAAAAGTATGTTAAATTTAAGTAACCAGTTTCACATGCAGAAACCTGATATCTGATGTTTTTGCCAATATAACTTAAAAATAAATTGGATGATACATATATACAAAACAAACATAACAAAATTCTGAATGGAGCGTGGAAGGCGGACAGGTTAAGGACCACAGGGCCTGAGAACAACAACGTGGTGAGTTCCTCCCTATTTTATTTTTTTGTCTCAGATACCCTAGATTTGGAGGCAAAGAAGCTAGCAATCCAGAAAGGACAACAGGTACAGACAAAAAAAAAAAAAAAATGAAAAGCCCCATAAAAGCATGTTTCTCTAGCAGAAAGATGAAGAAAAGGGCATCCTAGGAAGACAGGAAACTTGAAGACAATTACTGTACTCCAGCCAAACACCACAGAGAAGCTACGCCCCCCATAGACACACACTAGCAAAGGATGAGTGGGGAGTGTAAATCTGAAACCTCATGATGGTCTAATGGGGCGGCCTCACATCCACACTGGGGTGGTGATACCAGAGAAAGTGAAATAGGAGCCACGACTCTCATCTCTGCTGGTTGCTGACTAGGTGCCCCCCCACCTCAAGGAGTCAGTGGAGAACCTGTGGAGAGCCTGCATCGCCTTCCCCTGTGGACAGAATGAGGCATCCTTCTCTCTTTCCTATGGGATGGTATTGGAAGGAGGCACAGTAGAGTCAGGACTCCTACTACTAACGGAAAGCAATGAGGCCACCCTCCAACAGTGGACACCATGTGGGGAGCTGGAACTCCCACCCCTGGCAAGCAGTAATGAAGAATTGCCCACTCCCTAGATGTCAATGGAAGGGAAGTGGGGAACCTAGATTGCTATCTCCACCTGGGAGTGAAGAGGCTATTCTCCCCACCTGCCCTGGTGGAGCAATGTAAGAGAAAGTCAACTAAAATAGAAGAGTTAAATGAGATAAAAATATCTCAGAAAATAATAATTTAAAACGTATTTCAATTTTGAATTACTTGCTATACCATGAATCTGGAAGATCTCATGGAATGTACAAAGATCATTAATAGATGCCAATGCTGAGATGACAAGGATATTAGAATTTCCTGACAAGGATTTTAAATCAGCCATGATGAAAAAGGCTAGGCTTTAGTGAGCAATTATGAACATACTCGAAAGAAAAAAATAGAGAAAGACTCAGCAAACAGTTCCAGCCAAATAAATAAATAAAACAGATGATTTAAAGAGGCACCAAATGAAAATTTAAAAACTATTAAATAAAGCGAACAAAATAAAAACCTTAGTAGATGGGTTTAACAGAAGAATGAAGGGGATAGAAGAAAAAAAAAATTAGTTAACCAGAAAACAGAAATCAACCAATCTGAACAATAGAGAGTAAAGAGACTGAAAAAAATTGAACAGAGCCTCAGAGATTTATGGATTACAACATCTAACATTTGGGTTATTGGAGTCCTGGAAGGAGATGAGAAAGAAAGCAGGACTGAAACAGAGTCTGAAGAAATAATGGCTGAATACTTCCTAAATTTGAAAAAAGAAAAACACAACATAAATGTGTACAGATTTAAGAAGCTGAGTGAACATAATAAACCCAAAGAAACATAGTAAACCCAAAGAAATATATGCTAAGACATGCTGTAATTAAAGTTCTGAAAAATAAGGACATAGGAAAATGTAAAAGGCAGCCAGAGAAAAATGACATCTCACCTATAGAGGTAAAGCAATTAGAATGACAGCATATTTCAAATTCAAAGCTATGGTGGTCAGGGGAAGTGTAAAATTTTTGCTATGTGCTAAAAGAACTGTCAACCCAGAATCCTACAAACAGTGAAAATATGCTTTAGGAAAAAAGAAGAAATGAAAATATTTTCAGACAATGAAAAAGAATTTGCCAGCCTCAGAACTAGTGTAAAAGAATGGCTAATGGCAATCATAAACACAAGGGAAGCAAGAACAGGCTTTACTTTTCCTCTAGTGTTCTCAAAATTGACAACACAATTTTGTTGTTGAAGCAAAAATTACAACACTGCCTGATGTGGCAGTGTTGTGCCTGAATTGTGTACAGAGGTAATGTTTAAAACAAATATAAATGAGGGAGGGTAAAGTGATGTAAGGGTTTCACCGATAGCTCAGCTGGTAAAGAACTTGCCTCCCAAAGCAGGAGACACAAAGAACGTGAGTTTTACCCCTGAATCAGGAAGATCTCCTGAAGGAAACGGCAACCAACTCCAGCATTCTTGACTGGAGAATTCCACGGACAGAGGAGCCTGGTGAGCTACAGATCATGGGGTCGCAAAGAGTCTGACAAAACTAAGTGCACGCACACACACAGAGAGATGTAAAAATTTCTGTACTTCACTTGGACTTGTAAAATGACACCACCAGTAGACTGAGATCAGCTATGTAGAATGTAATAATTAGAGCAAGCTAATTATTGAGCTATGGATGGAGATTCATGACATTACACAGGAGACAGGGATCAAGACCATCCCCAAGAAAAAGAAATGCACAAAAAAAGGCTTTCTGAGGAGGCCTTACAAATAGCTGTGAAAAGAAGGGAAGCGAAAAGCAAAGGAGAAAAGGAAAGATATTCCCATTTGAATGGAGAGTTCCAAAGAATACCGAGGAGAGATAAGAAAGCCTTCCTCAGTGATCAGTGCAAAGAAAGAGAGGAAAACAATGCAATGGGAAAGACTAGAGATCTCTTCAAGAAAATTAGGGATACCAAGGGAACATTTCATGCAAAGATGGGCTCAATAAAGGACAGAAATGGTATGGACCTAACAGAAGCAGAAGATATTAAGAAGAGGTGGCAAGAATACACATAAGAACTGTACAAAAAAGATCTTCACGACCCAGATAATCACAATGGTGTGATCACTCACCTAGAGCCAGACATCCTGGAATGTGAAGTCAAGTGGGCCTTAGAAAGCATCACTA